CCCCCCCCCCCCCCCCACACACACACACTTAATTAGGGCAGACTGGTAATAAAGGGAGGGTATTTCAGGTTTTTCTTCTTCCTAGTGAGATTAGTGAATTAGTTATAATCAAATACTTTGGCCTGCATCTTTAGTCACACTCTTTTATTACAAAGGGCAATTACAACTCTGATCTGTCAGCACAACAATATTTCAGTCCTGTCATAAATATTTTCATAGACTACAAACATCTTGAGCTAATGATGATGCAGGATCTTTTTGGCTTAAAGGAAGAAAAGCAATTTATGTGCTTTTTTATTTCATAAAAGACAAAATTCCACATTAGTCCATTATTTTTCCAATTTCTATAACACTCTTGCAGACTTTTAGATATGTGTAACATTAATGTACCAATTCTATATGTACCTTGAGAGACTGGGAAGAGTGACTAATTGTAATGTATTCTATAGGAATCCCTGAATCCCCAAAGAGACATCAGTCAGAAGCAAACAGTAAAGGCATTTATACATATGCTACAGGAGAGGGTGTGTGTGTGTGTGTGTGTGTGGGTGTGTGTGTGTGGAGGGAGGGTGATAATTAAAGCAGCTATTGGAGCCCCGAAGTGCCCAACGCGTCTCGTATATCAGCATCCCCACACTGAAAAATGATGGTGGGGGTGCTTTAACTTGTCAAACAAGCTTCAGTTAAAGCGCTCCCGTGAGTCTGCTCTGATGTGCTGTAATTACAGTGCATCGGAGCAGCCTCACTGATCATATATAGGCGCCCCAACTGGTATAACCTAATAATGTATAACTGTATACTTTTACCCACTCTTTTGTACTTCTACATTTATTTTCATAACATATATAACTAAGAATGTGAGCAAAACATCAGCATAATTTCACCAGTTCATCAGTTAATACATTTGAAAGAAAAGATTTAACAATATAAGCCTACACATTCCCATATCTACCTGCCTTGTTTTCACCCTCTTAATTTCAGGATCTAAATTTTACTGTAAAATAATGAAGCCATAGAAAATCTTTCTTGGGACCAAATCCCTTTCCAGCACACTGCACAACTTCACTGCGTGGTAGCAAGACATTTGAGATAGGGATTGAAGGAGCCCTCCCCTCGTTCAAAACAGAACAGTTGAGCCAATATCTGGATCCTAACACAGTCAGTATGAATTCACATAGTCACAAATTTATTGGCCTTGTTCCTGCCCTCTTACTACCAGGAATCCTCCATGTCCAAATGTAGTAACACCAAGAAACTTGTACTACCCAATTTTAACTGGCTCCCATTATATAATAGCATTAGTTCCCTTGCATGTAAAGATCTCCACTATCAATTGGGAAGAGTTAATAAGCTGTCTATTATTCCATCTTTCTTTTTTTTGTTTTTGTTTCCAGCATTGCACCAATGCATGTCTGACACCTCTTTCAAAATGTACCCAGGCACTACATAGTGTCCACTAGGCCATAGAGATTGTCCCATTACAAGAAATACCCTTAATACCTTAAAGGAATTAAAACATAAATAAGCTAAATACATCTGTGTTGTAAAAGTGCAATCGAATTTCAGATAATGAACAGGGTTGCTAGCTAAGCAATGGAGGTGTCATACTCTTAATGCCATGCTCTGCTCCTAATCTGTGGTAACTATTTTAGACTGTTAAAAGTATGTTCCTTTCTGTGAATCACTCAGACTAAAAAGTAAAAGGAGTACTGCCGACTTGGAAATATAGGCACACTTGAAATTCATCTTGTTTGAAACGAGATGCATTAAAAAGTCAAAGACTGAGAACTCAATTGCATTGCCAAATAAGTTTATGCCCACTTTACAATCTGCTTCTTATGGACTGAATTCAACTTTATGGGGGGTTTTAATACAAATAATAGATTTAGAAATAAGTTAAATATGATCTACCCTTGTAATATTTTATCAAATGCAGTTTTTAAGTGTGTATGTGGTAGCACATACTTAACCAGCTCACACAAGAAAATAAGCAATCTGAAAATGGTGACAGTGATTTATCTAACTAAGGCAAGGCCACAAGAGTACATTTTTTTTTTGGAGGGGATGCAAATGCCCCTTAAAAATGAAGGTGGCAATACTTAAGTAACATTGGACATTGGTACAATCAGAAACAAAATAAAATCTCCAAAAATCAACTTTCAGCTTCTAAACACATGTAGGTGCATATTCTATTAAGCAAGTGAATGATAGAATGAAGCCATATGACAAATAGGCAAACAGGCAAAGAAAGAAAAAATAGTATCTTGCTCACCATGCACCTGATCCAAAATCCAGTAAAGATCCCACATGTCTTCATCTATCACTATCACACAGCTATTGCAACAGAATATTGGCAAGGGTTGTCATAGGGAAGGAAACAATGGAATTTATGAGACAATACAAGCAGGGCTATGGTGAATGACCCAGGAAGCCCTTTCCCAATCCCATATTTCTATAAGCAACTGCCATTTTAAAATGTAGATATGAAAATATGACAAGTAACGGCCTGGTGGTACAGTAGACAGGAGACAGAATACACCTGTGGTTGTATTTATGGATTGATAAGGGCAATATACCTTTAAACACTTAGTCCTATGGTGGCCATTCTTGCCATTGCATGGGGAGATTGCCCACTTACTTGCTGGAAAAGGAGCAAATAAGAAGTCAGCTCCAGGATTGGGGCCAGCATTTGGTAATTGGTACATCACATACAGGGAGAGAGGAGCATCATTTCATGGACAGAAAGCCCACCTACACTCAGTACTGAGTATCTGGGCAGCTGTAATGTGCAGGATGCAAAACATGCATAGGAATTTCTCACAGAGCCAGGTTCTGCTGGATTATGTCAGTAAATTACAGCCACTGCAGAGTTGTTCTCTTGCTCTGCCTAAGAGTGGCTGCAGATATTTAAAAGGCTCTGTAATTCTATCAGTCCTGACTAGGAAGTGTGAGAAGCAGGACAATAAATCATTGTTCCCAATTAAAAAACCATTATTTGCATAGAATAATTATTTTAAAAAGAACAACCAGAATACGATAATTACGTTTTTTCACTCAAAACAAACTTTTCTAAAGTATTAAGGGTGTGCTGGAAAAGGAACAGAGAAAGAAGTAATATCAAGAACCATCAAGAGTAAAAACATAATTATAATGAAAAGGCACATATAACATGCTGATAGAAAGTGATTTCATTAGCCCATTACAGTACTGTACACTGTAAGCAGTATGCACACTTGTCTTTCCCTTTTATAATAATAACCTGCTACTCTTATATAACACTAAGGAAGATCAAAAAGAAATGAGAAATTCATGTTAAATCAGAATTTCTAGATCTTCATTACAGTTTTCTTCATCAAGATAACAATATTACCATTAGCAGTTCATAATAAAAGTAACACTTTCATGTCATTTTCTATTTTCTATAAAGCACAATGATTGGAGTCTGTTCTGTACTTCCCTTATCTAACTCTGTTACTTTGGAATCTAAGAGTGCACTGGGCACATTAATCTTTCATGGCAGAATTCACTGAAGTTCTGCCAAAATTCAATAATTATGTTCTATCCAGTATAGCAATTTATTTATCTTATTGCTGGAATTTAGACCATATAGAACAAAGTGCTCAGCTTGTATGAAAGAACTGCCCTTAAAATTTAAACCTTGTTTAAACCCTGTTTCATGTCTCAAGTTTTAAAAGTATGATACAAATTATCAAGAAGCAAAGCTGTCCTTTTGAATCTGTATGTTAAACTGGCAAATTGAAAGTGCTCTTTGAGATGTTTGTGTCATGTTTTAAGCCTTTCCAATATAGTTTACAATTTTTATTCAAATATACAACAATATTTTGTATTTTGTGTTACACCATTCCAAAACCCCTAAGTATCTATGCACCGTAGTTGCAAAATAAGGACAAAATACAAAGTGAATATTGAGTTCTTCTGATTGAGAAGAAGTTGTACTAAACCAAAATGGCCAACTAGAAGTTTAGCAGTTTGGGGATTAAATTCCTAAAATGCAAATTACAAATTCTATAATTTGTCATCGCCAATGATAAATTCACAAAGAAGCCAGTGAAAAAAGTTAGAAGACCACCAAGGAGGAAAATTGAAAAAGATTTTATTTCAGATGGCTGTTAAATATAGTTTAGTGGAGAAAAAAATCATGTGTGTCCATTCTTATAATCTCAGGGAAAGTAACAAACAGAGTCATATCTACCTGGCTGTACTGAAGAATTGTTTGGTTTCAGAAAGAGACTAGCACATAAAAGTATATTATAGCTCCATGATCTTAGAAGGATGCCACATTTATTTCTACACTGATTTACCCAATATTTCTTAATAAAACAAAATACTAGCCTACCATGTCAGTAGTCTAAAGCCAGATTTCCAGTGTCTTTAGTATCTAGACAAGACTCATTTACTTCAGACATTGTCACAACGTCTGCAGTGTTTCCCTTTACAGAGGATTTGACTCTGCATTCAGAAAATAGCTCAGAAACTTTCTAGAGTACACTTGCTATGATTTATAACTTAGTCCTCTTCCTGCCCACCATAAGAAATGACATGTATAAGCAATTCACAAAGTATCGCTACCCAGTATTCATTTTGTTGCATTATTATTTTTTTTTTTGGCTTTGAAATATATTTTAGACAATGAATGTGACAGCTTTTTCTTTTTAACAAAATCAACTATATCTACTTCAGTAACAGAAGTAAAAATTATTTTTACATGTCAGAAGCAAGATTTGTTCCCCTCTCCAAAACTGTACCATGACATTTTCTTTTATATGTTGTGTTGTCAGTTTTATACTATGTTGTCATTTTCCGGCAAGACTTTACAGTTAAATATATTTTTCCCCTTTTCAGACTTCAAAAAAAATTAGTAAACTCTATTAAAGTCTTACCCACTGTTCTTTTAGTAACTGACAATCCATTATTTCAACATATTTGCTTTGTGCTAATTTTATCTCTGTAAAACGCATATATTTCAATATAATTCAAATATGAAAAGAGAGTTAACAGTATCATAATTCACTCCACAGCAACTCAATAAGGAACAAGCACTTTTCCTAAACAAATTAATGTGAATATTGGACCTGAAGCTTTCGTTAAGCCTCTCAAGTTTTTCCAGTTGCTTCCCCCCCCCCATCTAGTTTCATCCTACTTTAAGAAAAAAAAAAAAATACACCTTAACAAAAGTATATCGTTTTAAAAAGAGTTAGACAATGGCTACAAAATCTATTCTAATTGCAGGTGCTGTTGCCAAAGGAATAAGAATTGGTGGGGGTGGAGAGGAAAGGAGGAAAGAAAAACTGTTTCTTACTGACACTTCTTGTTAAACATAATATGGCTTACAAGTCAAGAAATACAAAGATTAAAATCTATGCAGAAAGAAGCAATTCAAAACCAATAACTATAAGAATTGCTAAATAAAATAGTAACAAAAATTGCCTTACATATTTCCCTTACATTCAGTACACACTGAAATCTGCCTATATTCTCATACAAATCATGCACTGCGCGTAACAGGAGGTCCTTAATTTCCAGTTTCTGTCTGCATTGTTGGAACCAGACTTAATTCACAAAGCATTCAAAGTGTTCAATAAGTACTCAGTTTGAATGCCAGATTTGTTTAGAAAATATTAGAGATAAATAACCACACATAAAATGCAGTAAGGTCTCTACAAGTTTTATAACTCTGAAAGCACTGAAATGACAACTTTTGCAGTTCTTTATTGATGTTTATAGTAACTTTTTTCTCCCTTTTTTAACAACAAAGAACAAGCACCTTAACACACTTCCACAAAGCTTCATAACCCAATCTTAAAAACATTAAGCTAAATATAAAGGTTCCTGTTAGTTTATTTTTTATTACATATTTTCTCCTATATCTAAATATTTATATTAAAAGCTTAACTTGTACTATGCACACAAAGAAACTACTAGAAAATTTCATTACTTACTGTTCACTGAGTATTACTTACTGAGATTAACAGTTTAAAGAATGCATCTGCTATTTATCCAGGAGTGTTTTAAACAACCCTTTCTACTGTATACTGCTTAAATGTGATAATTAAGCCTACTTTGGTATGCTGAAAAAATATAAAAAAGAAGTACAAGCTCTCTTCTTTATGAATTAGCTCATTGAAACCTATTTTTGGTGGCAAGTAAACTAAGGAAATTTAGAATGATAATAGCAACAATTTGGTACATTAGGAAAAACCAGAAAGAAAATGAGTGTTTCAGATATACAGTATAAAGTCATTTTGACATGCCTACACAACTGGTTGTGGCAGCTTTCAGACATGATTCCTAATCACAAAAAAATGCTCCAGGTTCTTTTAGAGAAAGCTTGCCGTTGGGAAGTTGATTTTGGCCAAGTGCCAAAATCATGTGCAAAAGGGGCCCTCATTACCAATTCATGGCAGCCTTCAGAGCTGACAAAAAATGTGACCCAACAGGCTAAAGCAACAACTAAAATTAAAAACTACGAGACAAAGACAACTTACTTAATATTCCCTCCATAGCCACATTAAACTTTTCTGTAATTAAACCCTTGTTAGTTCAAACAGTTTTCAACTACTTTTAAATGATTACACAGGCAGTCTTTAAAAGTTGAAAGCTTTCCCTGTACATTCTCTCAATCTACTGCACTTTTAAAAGTACTTTTGTCTGATGACAAAACTTCTGTAAGTGTCTACTAAAATCCCACTAAAAAGGAATAGCATTCCCATACATATTTAATTTCAGGAAATTCTAAAACTAAACAAATAATTACAACATGTTACCAGCCTTAAAACCATAAAGGAGGAGAGGGGAGTTAACATACAATTATAGCTATTTCCCAAACTTTCTAAAAAGATAGTCAAAAAGTCCATGCAAGCTGCAAACATTAAGAAAACTGCAATCACCAGAGCTCACTGCATAACTTTCCCCCAAAAGATTTGATACACAGCCTTACCTAGATGTCGTCAGGGTTTTCTGTGGATCAAAAAGTTTCCTGCCTAAGCACAGAGATATTCTTTCACAACCCATAAAGGCCCCTTTTATTAATCCAGCACTGTAACAGACTGTTTTCTACACCACGTTGAGAGCAGGATGCGTCAGCTTTCAAGAGAAAAACATTCTTAATACACAATTAGTGGCAGATTGTATAATAGTGGATTTATCTTAAAGAGGGAAAAGACATTTTTTAAAAAGCAAAGAGGGTGCGGTCAGATGTTAGGCTATCCCTGAGAAAAGGGGCCTAGGCTGCACTAGTACCTAAATACTAGCAGAAGCTCACTGGGAAAGGAGCCAATGGAATGACTTTGTTTGACCCAGCTGCCAATCTCTCCTGAAGCAGTGCGCCAGACTAAACACTGACACTATTTTAACTCAAATCAGGCTACAGCAGCTGTTTGCTTTCCGGCTCTGAGCTATGCACCATGGCCATGATGACTCTGCACAGCACATATGATAGAGCAGGGGCTGTATTGCTAAAATATGTTCCATGTTTGGATCTGTCATATAGGAGTGATTTTTTTTTTTTTTTTTAACACCCCTGTCTGTCCTCCGGGAAGGAAATAACAATGCAATTATATCCCTGCAAAACTCAGTATTTTAACTCAAGAAGTAAAGTTACTACATCTGTATATATTTAAAAAATACCAGCAACAAACTGTAAAGGTGTGTCCACCTCACTCCAAAATCCAAAAATGTTCTTTGACATGTTAGCATTGCTTCTACGTCACATTTGGGAATCACCAATAAGCCATCTGTTTTACCAATCTCACTGGCTCTTTTTAAACTATATTTTATTAAAGAGCTGATATATTTTCTACGCATTCACTTCCCACAATACAATGTATACATAAGGTGCATGTGAGAAAGTAGGTGTGCAAATATATATTCATATACAAAATCACACACAGCTCTAGATTCTGTTCTGTTACGTTGACACAAATCCAGAATAAGTCATTTGTAGGTAATAGAATTGTTCCAGACTTGCACTCAAAAATCTAAAGCCAAACTTGTCTAATGCAGTTACACATAAAGCCATGTGAGTTAAAAATAGCATAATAAAAAACCCTCTATTTGCTACAGGTATACTGCATAGAAGCTCAGACATAGTCAGTTCAAAAGCAAAAATCAAATCTTGTGCAGCTATGGTGGTGCCAGGATTTTGTAGGGAACATAAACACGCATGAAAAATTCAATAGGAGCACCAAGATTCTAGTAACTAATTATATAGCATAGTCACATGGAGGTGGCATAAGAAAAAGTTATCTACGACATAGCTGCCTTTGCATCCGTGCCATACAATGGTACCAGAGTCTCAAGTCTGTGTTCTTTCCCCATTTCCAGTGAGTTTATTGGTTTCTCCCATACACATTGCATTCATGTAACCCCGCTCAGCTCCCCAGACTGCCCCACTGCACTTTAACATCTTTTTCACCCCAATTCAAAGCTTAAAAAAAACCAAGAGTAGAATAGGAGAAGGAATAATTTGGGCCCTACCATTTTCCATCTAAGCAACCTGGTATAGATTTTTGATTATCAAATGAATATTAGAAAAACATTCCAATATTTTTATTCAAGTTTTCAGAAAAACAGTCATCTTACATGCATCACAGAGTGTAACAATATTAGTGTAGCCAACTGCTGGGATTTGAATGCAAGCCTCATGATATTTGCTGTTTTCATAAAAACCCCACTCTGGAAGTCAAGTGATCAGATGAGAATCTCAGCTTTCATTAGACAAATAAATAAAAAAGAAGTTTATAGCCCTTATGTAGATTGAGACACCTTGAAAATAAAAATGTACTGAACCATGTAAGTCTCAGGAAAATCCCATAAATGAAGTAAAACCCAATTTTTATCATGATTTTTAATGCAATCTTATGATATGGGGAGGTCTGACACAAGCTGTTGAACACCTAGGAATTGTAATGCTAAATATGTTATAAGTCAGCATATGCACAGGATATTCCTAATGAAAGGATAAAATGCTATGACTCATTAGGTTGATTAATCATAACAAGTTATCTGTCTAAGGCATGAACTTGAGAAATGGTTAGCACCCTGTCATCTGAAGCCAATAGAAATAATTGTTACGCAACCCCACTACGATGAAGGGAACCAAAAGCAGTCAAATAGTATAGTGGCCAGGGAGTGACCCATCAAAGATCTTCAGATATACTGAATCTATTATAGTAAGCTTCTTTTAAACAAAAGTATAAAATATAAGACTCATCTCCATGACTGAACAAATGAAAAAAGAATCCTTCTTGTTTCACACCGCTGAAGAGTCTTTAAACATACCAGCGCAATAACACTCCTGGAAAGAATTGCAAACAGTTCATTCAACACTGAAATAGGAATGTGGACAAAATGTTGCTGTAGCTAGTGCAACAAGCATCAAAACGTCTTTGAAAAAAAAAGAGAAACCAAACAGACGATAAAAATAGTATCATTTCTTACATATCAATGATATTGTACATTAGGGTGATATAGTCAGATTCACACACAAAGAAGATGCATGTAATATCTACATTTTGGAATGACGGGGGGTGAGTGATGTGGCTCTTCAGGGGTACAATAATGAAAGCAGGACAGGATCAAGGCATAGAAAAAAATTTAAACTACCAGAATGAAAAGAAAGGATCAGATTTTCTATATATTGTTGGAAGCAGAACAGTATTCGATTAAGTTATAGTGTAATGAGTAGAACAGTCACACAGTCTTCTTCATCCGCTTTGAGAGTCACTGAAAAAACACTCAAAAGTTCTCCTGTTTCTGTTTATGAAATGGGTTATGATCCACCTTTTGCTCTGTAAGTTCTCATTATATCATTTTGATTTGGAATTAAATATTCTTGACATAATGGCTCCAGGGAGATTGCCCGGGGAAGGACCTGGAGTCTGAGATTCCTTTCACCTTTTAATCAAACTTATGTCACCCTTGGGCAAGGCATGAACAAATTTGGGAACACACTGAAATCAATAGCTGATGCTGCTTCTCCAATTACTACAAATTTCAGGCCATTCCTTGTAGAAAAATGCTGAAGATTCTTGACAGTATAATTGACAGGCTGCGGAAATTTGTTGTTTTTCGTAGAAATGCTCAGTGTGTTGTCTTTAAAACTAATGAGGTTTTCCATCACTAGCAACATCCATACTATTTCTTGTTGGGTAAGTTCATTTGACATACCCTTAACAGGTTTTTAAAGTGTTCAAATAGAATGAGTTTTTTCTGCCATCACTTCCTTACTTTGACTATAATAATTTTGAGCCATCACTTTATCACGGATAATATCCCTGACAATGGTATGTTAAGAGTAATCACAGGCCTCTGGTGAAATCCTCACTCCACTGAAGTCAACTGCAAAACTCTAATTGAAAGGATAAAGATTTCATCCATAAAGGCCTAAAGGCACAAGTAGATTGCCACAGGGTCTGAAGGGATAGGTCACTGCAGCATGTATAGCACTGCATAGCTATCTAGGTGATTTATGGCATAGATTTAGCTTCCTCTAAAGCAGCATGGAATAGCCCACTAGTTGAAGGAGGATATCAGACATAATGGACCAAAAATGTGATGTAAATTGCAAGATGCATAAATTATTTTGGTCTTTGAGACTTGCATTCTTATTCTTGTTGTGACTTTATCCGCCTGCTATGCCCACTCCAAACTGAATATATATGAATGACCTCTGCTCAGCTAAAAGACGGTTCTCCTTTCATAGTTAAGAAAGAAATCACAGATTAAAACCAGATTTAAGAAACTTCTTCATTATGTTGAACATTTTATGCTGAACTGGAAGATGGCAATTAAGTTTCCTAAAATTATAGGAATATATATCATCACACTTTCTACGGGGAAAAAAGAAAATGGAAAGAGTTAAAAATATTAAGGGGATAACAACTCATATGTTTCAGGATGGAGCCCAACCCTTAGCTCTTTTGAGTTAGGAAAAAACTTGTCTCAGTTATTGCACAAATGTCCTTTATGTTAGAATTATATGTTCTTCTGAATCATCTGGTTCCCACCTTTGTCGGCAGCTGCACACCAGACTCTACCACTGCCTTTGGCTTGGGAAATTACATATTTCCACAGAAATCCACTACAAAACAGGATCGTAAATGGGCAGAGATCATTGTGACAATTGACTGATTTATTTAAGCCTTTTGTAGATTAAAATTAGGTTTATACAACATTATCATTTGCACATGCCTCCTGTATGTTTATAAATTCACTGAAATACTTATATTATCCCCCAGAAAGGTGCAAATGTCAGCTCTTGGATTGTTTCTTCCAGGCAAAGATAATGTAACCATGTATTTTCTGTAGTAAGTTGAAATATTTTTCCAAGGTAAAATCCATAGAAGTTCAATTCTTTC